TCATAAAAACTGACGTTTTTTGGCGCGCTGCATCTATAAGATTCAATGGTTCCTGCTGCCCGAAATTTGAAGAAATCGCTCTCGTCCTTGACACTGAACCCTAGAGAGATTGACGAAAAGCAGGTAGAAGGAGGGACTTGTTCCAACATACCGAAACTATTTTCATAATGCATCTGAGAGTTGAGCACTTTTAACGGAGGGTTAACTCATTTTTGCTTGGAGATAGTTTTGTCAAATGATTCGATTTAAATTATTCGTGACCATGTTAACCTAGTGGTCATGGTTACATACTCGTGGACTTGGTTGCTTGTACCGAGTCGTATTTTTCTCCTGTCATTACTGAGGAACCGCCGCCTAAAAGAACATGCATGTTAAACCGGTCTAGGTTCGAAGAACTCACTTTAGCATGCAATTGCCCAATATTTTTATACTAAAATTTATTTTTCAAAAATTTAGATTGTTTCTTTTATGTTGCATAAGCATTGCGTAAGAATTATACCGTAGGTCAGTGTTGTCAGACCGAAAAATATAGCCAAATATCGCAATATATAGTCAATAGTGGAATACTGTTGCGTTACATATTGAAACACAATAATTCTTGTTCATAGATGTTCGGAATTAATATCCTTTTGTTGTTTTTGTAGATTACACCATTATTGTGCATGTTCAAATAATAATTTACGGAAACATGTCCTTGTTTATAATTTGTAACATTATGTTGTGTTTTATTATGAAACATAATTAAAATTTCGAAAGTATTTTCTACGGAAGAGAATGCAATGGATTTATTTCTAAAAATGCTGTCTAATATGCAAGCATTCGAAAGACCATGTGCGACCATGGAGTTTAGGAAAATGTCGAAACAAGAAACATCACGAAACTGAACGACATCATTATTTTTTCATACTTGTACAAATTTATGTGGAGACGTCTGCACAAAGAAAATTCATTTGTCGGGATTTCGAACTAGTTACTGCATTTTAGTCTCTTGAATAATGCATTTCATATTAGATACTGTGCTATTTTATTAAATACAATGTAAAATTCTTTTAAATCTTTGCTACTAATTTGTAGACAGGCTAATATGGAAGCAACATGTGTGGTATTTTGTTTTAGTGCATGTGAGCAAGCTAAGATAGCATTTAGAGACGTTTTTTGATTTTAAGATGTGTTTTGATTCAGCGCGAAATTGGTTCACGATATAATTCCTATGAGTTGAATTAAGTTTTGATAATTCTCAAAAAAATTAACTGTTTCATTATTACCTCTCAATATATATCCTGAGATTAGATATTTTATTTATGGTAGAACTAATGAATAAATATTCCACTTAAATACGAGTATAAATATATGAAACTCCACGTACACTAAGTTAGAATTGAAGAAGTCTAGAAGCAAAAAAAAAAGTTGGGTATACTTGATTTAGAGGAATGAGTGAGCCGAAAATTAAAACTAACGAAGCAATAGCTTTATTACCGAGTCATATGAATTATTTTAAACTAATCCCAGTCTTAAGTGTCCTCGTTTTTTAAGTGTTTTTTTCCCCTGTTTTAATAAGACTTTGTAACGGGCCTATCCTCGTTTCTACTAATCCTCTTGGGTAAAATAATATTTTTAACTGTGATTTCAGTTGAAAATCGCTTTCTGTAAAGAAGACTTGGTTTACGTTTATTAGAACTTATATTTAAGTGTTAGTCGCAGAGCAGGTGCGATGATGGTTGAAAGTAGAGATACAAGAGAACATAGCGTTAGTGACCAGAGGTCATATAGTAAAGTCAAATGGGAGTTATTCAAAGATTATTTAAGTATTAAAAAGAAGAGCGCTAGAGATAAGATGTGATCTTATTTCTATTATATTTAATTGACTTCAATTAGGGATTGCAATACTGGTATACCGTGATACCGAATACCGGTATTTTGAGCCATTTGAACAATTTTGTAATACTGGTATTCACAAGTTAAAATACCATCTTTTAGGTATTTACTGGAAATTTTTAAAATTGTCTCCAATGCATGTTCAGGGATCGCCAACATAGCAAAATAGTATACGTTTTAGTTTTTATGTCTCCCTTTCCGTCAAAATCAATTAGACTGTGAATGTATAGTTGCGTCGTACAATCATGAGAAGCAATAAAATATTTGAATCATCCAAGAAGGCGGGCCAAAACAATCTTATTACAGCTTAGAGCGATACTGCGCACACGTAGGATTCGTAGTCTGATATTAGTTTCTGTTGTGAAGAAAGTGCGTAATATTTCGATATTTTTTAAATTATTGAGTTAGTTATTCACATTGTATTTGCATGCCATACTTTAGAGTTCAAAATATATTTTTCAGAGAGATTCATTATATATAATATATATATATATATACCCATAAACAATAACCCACAATAATGAAGAAGAATACGATAATAATGAATAAGATTTAAGATGACATTTCAAAATTTTGTAATAGTACCACAGACTGAATAGTGATATTTACACTTTTTTGTGATTGAAATAAATAAGATGTTCCTTTACTTTTTTGTGATTCTTTATATAGATTCTTTATATTGTTTTTTTTACGTGTGATATTTACACTCCCCAATAAAACTAGCAAATAAAACAAAGAAACACCTGTGTTTCCTTTCTTTTTTCTGAAATTTCTACTACTGGTATTAAAACTGGTATACCGGTATTAAGATCTAAGAAATACCGAATACCGGTATTGAGCTTTTGGCACGATACTGCAATCCCTATTTACAATTGATTGCTCCTCGGGTTTAGTGATCTAAGTGGTAAGTAAAAGTGTGTTGATTATTAAAATGGCTGATCTTTACTCCCGCCCTCCAAAACCCGCGTCTGCAGAGACGCGACAATTTTATTAACGAAAATTTGATTATTGTCATTAGAAGACTTCGCTAGTCTTTAATTTCTCTTGTCCAATTTATCAACATCTCTCCATTCTATAACGCTTTAAAGAAATCACATTAAATAAATATTTATAAAAAGAGCTTTGTATTTCTGCTGGTTAATTGTAATTGCCCTTCGTTTAATGTATGATTTAATGTCACGCCAAAAATAAAAATTCGAACATGTTCTTTGATGTTTCTGTAAATTTCAGTAATTCAATTCGCTTAAAGGGCCGGTTTATTTTGTGCTCAAACCCCATGAAAGAAAAGTAGATGTAAATTAATTAAAATTGGATCTTTGAAGTCTTTTGCAGCCTTAATGGAACATCAGTTCTCGGATTTTTTTCATACCGCGTTCACAACAGATAAATGGTGCATGTTGTTACGAATACAGTTAACTTTGTAATTAAATTTGTCATGTAGAATATTTTCATATAGACCATTGAAAAAGTGTAGAGAGAAAACTTTCAAAATAAACAATGGCTGGTGTAACAATTATTGAGTAAAATAAAATTAGCACTTGATTTTGTTGCTAAATTAAAAGGGATGACGCATTTATTTTATACTATACCGCGTTGCCTAATGGATATGGCGTCTGACTTCGAATCAGAAGATTGCATGTTTGAATCATGTCGCGGACGTACTTTCCATTTAGCCGGATGGGTGGAGTGGTTGGTTTGTCTCTGGCTTTCAGCACCCAAGGATACGAGTTCGGCCCTGGCCTAAGTCGGTGGATTTTCATGATGCAAAAAATTGACAACGGCTATGTCGTATGATTATGCGCCATGTAAAATATCCCCAGAGTATCTGTTTGGTTTGGATTTTCTCGGCAAAATTAAATCCTGGTAAATGTTCTCATCGTCAGAGCTCAGGTGCCTCCCTCAAGAGAGGAAATTGGGCATCAAAATTACCAGCGGTGATTGGTATCCGCCTAAAAGGGCGCCGTACTAAAAAGTGATACCAGCTTCAAGGGAATGTACTAGTCTGTGTGTGTGTGTGTGCAATGACCGATTCGCAGCCCATTAGAAAAAATAGTGTTTTAGTTTGGTTTGTTTTTTGATTAATTTAATACCGTTTCAATGTGAAGAAACATGAAGGGTATTGGCAATGAACTTCGTAATTTTGAATCATTGCCATGTTTGAAGAATTTTTTAACGTTATAATATTCGCTAGGCTATATGAAGTCTATTGGTGACGGACCTCGGAATTTGGAACCTTTGTCAATAACTTGAGCAGCATCTGAGTCAGCATCGCACTCAAAATTTCCAAAACAAATGAGTGAGTTATATGAACATCACACTCTAGCGTAACACTTGGGCTCTTGGTGACAGACTGCATTATTTTGAGCATTAGTTAAGGGACGAGGACGAGCGCTGAGCTTGTACCCAATCTCCAAAATACCGCACCATGCCTAGCGGAGACTTAGAGCTAGAAAGATTTAACGTGCATTAGTCACCCTCTCCATGGTGGGCATTCAATGACACCAGGATTCGGAATCGTAACACGAACCACAAGTTCGTGACCATAACCACTATGTTACTGCATCCGAGTAAAAATTTAGAGCTTTGGAAAATTTAATGCGCATTAACCCTTCTCCACTGGATGTCATTAGAGGCACATGATATCGAAATATCCAGTGGATAGAAACAATATCTGTCATGAATCTTTGACCATTACCTCTGGGTTATAGCGGACCCTAGAATGTTTCAGATACATAAATAATACAAATACAGTCGAACCTCTATATAAAGAAGTCAATACATCCCGGGAGAAAGATCGTTATATGGAAAATTAGTTATAGAGAAGTTCATCTTTTAATGTACTTTATAAACCTAATAAAACAAATTTTAAATTCATAAACACTATATATTAACCCTCCAAGCGGTCTGCGCGTAAAATTCCGCCATTTCAGAGATGCTTTTTCTGCCTTCAAGCAAGATTCCCAAAAGCGGCCGAGCCGCATTCTTAAAAATATGGCTCAACCGATTTTGAGAACCCCACCTGAAAGCAAAAAAATATGTGCGGTGCATTTTTGAAGCACTTTAAGTGCAGACCGCTTAGAGGGTTAAAAAGTAATTATTCACACCTTTTTATAAAGTAATATATGTTTATTTTATATATCTTACCCTTCAAAAAAGAAAAGAAAAAAAAACTGTAAGGAAAATAAGAAAAAAAGAATGTCGAAGAATTCACTGTGTTTTCAATATAAAGAAAATAACTTTATACTAAAATTAATGAATTTTAAGGACATTTTATAGTTTAAAACATACGAGTAATATTAAACGTACATTATTTTATAATCAGGGTAAACGGGACAAATCCACTGAGAGTGAAAGAGGACATCGAAGATGTTTCTAGTGAACTGGGCAATGGGGTTTAAAGGTTGCACTTCTTGGATGAAACGTCCAGAATTTTTTCAGAAATACTTTAAAAAAAGAACAAAAATTGAATCCCAAAAAGAAAAAGTTCGTTGCATAAAAAATGCACTTCGCTATAGAAAATATATTTTACGAAGAAAATCGTGAAATGTTCAAGGTTCCAGGAAAAAGTTCAATATATAGAAAAATTCGAAATATAGAGGTTCCACTGTATATTTTAAAATTTCTCACTCTCTGTTCTCTCTCTCTCAGATCTTTCTCACTCTTTTCTCTCTTTCTCTGTTCTCTCTCTCTATTATTCCAATAAATTTTTTAATAACAAAATGTTAACGTAAACTTTTCTGTTTTTTCTAAAATTATTTTTGTGTGTTTTCCAGGTTATGATATCACACGAACATACCTAACCTTGGAGAGTGCTTAGATGTTCGCAGTATGTTTAATATAATTATGTACACATTTAATTTCTTTTTTACTCGAAAGTGAATACTGAAAATTATTCGTTGTACTTATGCATTAAAAATAATGTCAATTCTGTTTTTGAATGCAAGCAAATATATGCGTATCTGCTTTATTTATTTTTTACAGCACATAATTATAAATATATAAGAGGGTCGGAATTGTAATTTATGTATTCCTTATATTATGTATTCCTTCCATATATGTATTCCTTAGTTTACTTTCTAAATTGCTTAGACTAAATTAGACACATTCTTACAACTTGCCAAATTGTTTTAAAAATATGTACATACCAAAAAGTCTGAAAAATTGTATTATTCTTTTAACTCTAACTTTTAATTAGCGTAAAACTTTTAAACTAGGTAAAAACTTAACGTTGGAAAAGAAAATTTATTTTTGTAAACTGTTCAAAAAATTCTTGAAAACACGTTTTTCTTTTGAAAATGGAAATTTTTATTTTTTAAAATGAGACTTGGAAAATAATTCATATTTATGAAACACTTACATTCGAAATCAGTTCTATCAATTAAGAAGAAATGTAAGAGAATCATTACAATTTCTTAAGATTTGTAATTTAAATGGAAAAATGTATTATACTTAAATTTAGAATATTATAGTTTTATTATTAGAAAATATTTAATTTTATGTGAAAAATAACGAACACAGAATGAATATAAAGAAAAAAAGTAATATGAAGTAAGAAAATTTTAAAGTCAATTCCTGATTAGGACAACAAACAAAAATTTTATTTTAGTTATTTTTTATTAAATAATTACAATTAATATAAATATGTATATTTATATGACAGAATCACAATACTAAGTAGCAAAGTAGGAAGTGAATTCCCTTGCAAATTTACATAACTGGTAGTTGGATAATCAATGTACACTGTCGCCATCTATTCCCTTCTTTCGTAACAAATTTAATTATTTTCTCCCATGTAAAACTCTAAAATTAATTAAATTTAATTGATGAATTAATATTTGAAAAAACTACATTAACATCAAGTATCATCCACTACAAGTTTAAAAAAATGCATTTGAATTTGAGTGTATGAATAAAAAGAATTTTATTAAGGATTGAAAATTTGAACAAAATATATAAATAAATATATATAGAGAGAGAGTGTGTGAACTATATATAATCGTAGGAATTGAAAAAAAGGATTGTAACAATTTTTGGATTGACAAAAGCTTTAAAAATGTTTCTTTCACTTCGATATATTATATATGATATATCAGCATTATTGACTGTTTTTCTCAAATATATTTCATGTTATTCTATTTCAAACATAAAAAAACAGTATATTTTTACAAATGTTGAATTTTTTTATGAAAGGACACTGATGTCATAGTAACTTTACGACGATGCAAAATATCAAAATAAGATACATTTTCCTTACGTCTGTTAGTGATCCTATGTATGAAATATGAAATTTTGAAAAGCGCTGAAATACTTTTCTTCTGTCTAGACGTTGTTTTATTGTGCTTTTCAAAAAAAATTTAATTGCTATTTCGAAACTTTTCCAACAAAAATAACTTCCGAGACAACATAACATTCCTGTCTATGTTCTGACTTTAAATAATTATCTTGTTTAAATGCTATGTAAGCTTCTTCAATTTGGGTAGAATTTTCTTCGTTTAATATGCTAGCTGTGTTTTTATTAAATTAAATCATATATTAAGCTTAGTATTGCAATATTGTAAGAAAAACAATTATCATGAACTTTTGGAATTATTGAGCGAAAAATGATAAGTAAGTAAAAAAAAAAATGTAAAATTTTAATTAATTACTTTTCTGGATAGGAGAAGGTAGATATAGTGTTCCGAGTTCGACTTTAATATTAATTTCGTAATATGTAGATTTTAATGGGATCTTTTTGAATTACTATTCCACTTACTTCTCATTTAAGATTTCATTTTATAAAATGAAAATAATATTATTTTATTTTATTTAAATTAATAGTAAACTAGATTCTTAAGAACAACCTAATTCGTTATTCAGATATTTTTATTTTGTAAAAATAATTTTACTACCTCGTCCTTTGTACACAATATTAAATAACATGTAAACAATAAATTGAAATAAAAAATCAAATGAGGTCTTATAAATTTTTTCACCATCAAAATGTTTGTAGTAATAAATAGTTTGTAGTAATAATGTTTAGTAAATAAATATTTAATTAAATTTAAATATCATTTCAAATATTTAATGTCATGAGAGTTTGAATAAATATCTCTTATCGTATCTTTTAAGTAAGTAATTCAAAATAGGTTTCATTAATATATTATCAAAAGAAATTATTGTTTACTTTTTCCAAAACTACTATTTAGAAAGCATTTCACACACATACATTCTAGTTTTATTTTTACTACCAATTAAAATAATTAAAAAATAGAACATAGAGAAATATAGAAAAATTCGTAAACTTTTTCCTGGAACCTTGAGCATTTCAGAATTTTCCTCATAAAATAACCTTTCTGTAGCGAAGTGCATTTTCTATAGAACGAACTTTTTCTTTTGTGATTCAACTTTGTTCTTTTTTTAAAGTATTTCTGAAAAAAATTTCAAGTTATTCCCTCTTTAACACATTTTATGGTGATCAGAAATATTGAGCTAGTTTTATTATATTCTAACGCGCCGAGAACAATAGGGTTCTGGATGTTTCATCCAAGAAGTGCAACCTTTAACACCCATTACCCAGATCACTAGAAACATTTTTGATATCCTCTCTTTTACCCTCAGTGGATTTGTCCCGTGTCACCGTGTTCTATTTACAAAATAATGCATGTTTAATATTACTTATA